CCAACCGGAAGTCCAGTTCCTCCACCATAGAGTCTCTTCCCAGCACGGCATCCTTTTTCCTCTGCCAACCGGAAGTCCAGTTCCTCCACCATAGAGTCTCCTCCTAGCACGCCGTCGCTTTTCCTCTACCTCTCCTAACTGAAAGCCCTATCAATTGTGGAGCCGATCGGCAATAGGGAGCCGCAGTAGAGGGATGAAAGAGCCACATGCGGCTCCAGAGTCGCAGATGGCCAACCCCTGGATTAAAGGATCAGAAGGGATCCTTTAGGAACCCAAAGATTTAGGCCCATTGCATGGTAGGTAGTTTTTGAATTATGACCACAATTGTGCCTAAAACTTCCCTGGCTAAACGAGACATTTGTTTAGTGAGTTTTGTTCCATTTTACCAACTTTTTCTTGCCATGTTGCTAAGTGAATCACTGCAGCTGTTAAGTTAGTAACACGGTCATTAAGGGAATCTGGCTTCCCTGCTGACTTTACTAGTCAGAAGGATACGAATTGTGGATCACATGATCCCAGAACATTGCAACCATCATAAAGACATGCCAGTTGCCAAGTAAATTTTGATTGCGTGCCCAAGGAGAGGCGGCACCGGTCGTATGTGAGAAAAAGGGTTATCCGTCACTTGTTATCACTGCCGTTATAACTTGGAATGGTCACTAAGCAGATGCTTGGAAGTCAAGTCTTATGTCTACCCCTTTTTCTTTATTTTGAACCTGAAATGGCAATGCACGTCATGGTTGCTGCCTGTAGAAAGGTCCTTAAATATCAGAAAAGGTGTATAAAATGCAGCACAGGGCTGGCTCATCAGGAGCCCGCAGTCCTGTATCAAATCCATTTGCTGTAGTGGTGGGTTTCAGGCGGTACAGCCTGGTACGAATGTACCAGTGATAGCTGGGAGCAGTGGCTACCGTACCGGAACTGTGGGTCGTTTCGCCCGCCCTCCCGCGTTCCTTACCACTTTTTGAGGCAAACGGGCCAATTGTGCAGGCGGCACCTGCGTGGCTTCCGCTGAGCAGCTGACTGTCGCTGGGCGGTGGCATGTGCATGCGTACGCAGCAGCCGAGACGCCTGGCCCCGTCGCAGTGTATACCAGTTGTGACGGGATCCGGAACCCACTACTGAACTTGCTGATTTACCTTCCATCAGTCCTGCGCCGTTGGACCCTAACTTTCCTTTCGCTTGTGTCTCAATCTTAATGCAGCAGCAAAAGCGTCCAACTCTGGATCTGCAGAAGAACTTAAAAGACACCAAAGCGGAGCCCCAGACTTCCCGTAAGTATATAGTTGCGTCTTTGCAAAAATCCCTTTCCCACGCTGGTCATTGGAGGAAGCAAGTGGAAGCTGTTTGGCTGATCGGAAGTATACATACCGCTGTAATGGTATGCAGCAGTATTGGCGAACCTCTTTGGCACCGCGCTCCTGAGCTCCAAAAACTCAAAGACCAGTTGTTCTTTTGGTTTCTGGTGTGCACCTGCGCCAGCCAGCTGGTCTTCGCGCGTCCTGGAGCGCCAGAAACCCAAAGATCAGGTGGCTAGCGCTCGCATGCACACCCACCAGAGGTTCCACCACAAAACCGCGTTCGACTAAAGCGTGCTCGACGAAACTGTGTAGCTGACGTCATCACAGGGCGACAACAGCGCGGAGACAGAAGGACGCTGTAAACGCTAAACCTAAAATTAACACCTAAACCTAACCCCCCCTAAACCTAACCCTTAACCTAACCCTAAACCTAACCCTAACCCTAACCCTTAACCTAACCCTAAACCTAACCCTAACCCTAACCCATAACCTAACCCTAAAGCTAACCCTAAAGCTAACCCTTACCTTAACTTGAATCGGCTTGCTTTCAAAGCGCTATTTAAAGCGCCCTTCTTTCTCCGCGCTCGCTGTTGTCACCCTGTTGATGACGTCAGCGACGCGGTTTAATCGGGCGCGCTTTAGTCGAGCGCGGTTTTGTCGTGCCACGCCCGCCAGATTGTCTTCAGGTATCCGGGGCCGCAGCGCACACGAAGATCAGCTGGCCGGCGTGCATGCAGAGGAGGTCAGGAATGCGTTGCGAGTTGACATTTAGCTCATCTGGTCCCGTTTCCTGTGTGGTCCAGGCTGACAACAGTTTTGGACACCACTGTGGTCGTAAGTCCACAATGGTCCTAATCCTCAACCTCGTAAGTCGAGGATTATCTGCATGGTGGAATGTAAAGAGGAGATGGATTCCAGGGGAGGGAGGGGCTGCATTCTGGAAAAGTAAGAGGCAACTCAGTTCAGATATCATGTGTGAGAGAAAGAGGGTGAAGACAGCTCCTCCCTAATGCAGGTAGTCCTTGACTTATGACAACAATTGAGCCTAAAACTTCTGTTGCTAAGTGAAACATTTTTAAACTAAGTTTTGCTCCATTTTTATGACCTATCTTACCACCGTTGTTAAATGAATCACCGCCGCTGTTAAATTAGTAACTCGATTGCTAAGCGCACCGGGCTTCCCTTGTTGACTTTGCCTGTAAAAGGGAATCACGTAACCCCAAGACAATGCAAAGGTCGTAAATATGAATCAGTTGTCGAGTGTCTGAATTTTGATCACATGACCACGGGGATGCTGTGACGGTCGTAAGCTTGAAAAAAATGGCCATAGGTCACATTTTTCAGTGCCATTGTAACTTTGAGCCATCGGTAAACCAACTGTTGTTAAGTTGAGGACTTCCTGTAACCCACACAGTATGGTAGATGCGGACAGTAGTGTTTAGTCCAGCAAGAGTTTGTCTACAGGTATGGATGCAATAAAGCATCCACACCTGTAGACAACTTGGAAGAGTTGCGACGTGTCATTCTTGACTTTGGGTCTGACAATGAAGTTTTCCTTTCTTAGGACCGAGGATTAAGCCCTTGCTGCCACGGGTCAGTTCCTACTTGGTTCCGGTTCACTTCCCAGCAAGCGAGCCGTTTCATCTTCAATTGCCTTCAAGGCCACCTCTGCCTGCAGGCCAGACCGCTTTGGTGACCACGCAGATCAACACAGGGGAATGTCCTGCTCCAAAGGTCAGTCTCCCTCATCTCATTGTTTTTCTCGGGTGCGTTTTGTCTGGATATAGAGCGTCAAACTCAAGGCCTGCGGGCAGGATCCAGCCCTACAGGGTGCTTAGATCTGGCATATGGGGCCACCCTGGAAACAGTGAAGGACCAGCCTGCAGTGCTTCCCTCAGTGAAAATGGAGTTTGGGGGGACCTACGTGTGGCTTTCTCAAGCTCTGTTTTAGACTGCGACAGCCTCCTGCAGCCCTCTGCGGGTGAAAACTGAGCTTGGGAGGCTTACATGTGGCCCTCCCAAGCTCTGTTTTAGGCTGCGACAGCCTCCTGAAGCCCTCTGCCGGTGAAAACCGAGCTCGGAAGGCCTATGTGTGGCCCTCCCAAGCTCTGTTTTAGGCTGCGACGGCCTCCTGCAGCCCTCTGCCAGTGAAAACGGAGCTCAGGAGGCCTACATGTGCCCCCCCCCCCCCAAGCTCTGTTTTAGGCTGCGACTGCCTCCTGCAGGCCTCTGGCGGTGAAAACGGAGCTCGGGAGGCCTACGTGTGGCCCTCCCAAGCTCTGTTTTAGGCTGCGATGGCCTCCTGCAGCCCTCTGCCGGTGAAAACCGACCTCGGGAGGCCTTCGTGTGGCCCTCCCAAGCTCTGTTTTAGGCTGCGACAGCCTCCTGCAGCCCTCTGCCAGTGAAAACGGAACTCGGGAGTGGTCCGTGTGGCAGAGGGCTGCAGGAGGCGTGACCCGTCAAAAGCGCGCTTGACTAAGCCGCGCCAGATTAAACCGTGTCACTGACGTCATCAACAGGGCGACAACAGCCAGCGCGGAGAAAAAAGGGCGCTTTAAATA